AATAGGTTCCATCCTTAGCACCACATATAAATAAATAAGTAAAATAAAGGTATTGTGTCCCATCTATAACTTAATTGTTTTTTTAAATAGTGTGAGCTGGGTGCCATGATGCATGTCTGTAATTCCAGTAACTCAGGAAGCTGAGGCAGGATGATTGCAAATTCAAGGCCATCCTGGGCAAGACCCTCTTTCAAAATAAAATTAAAAAGGACTGGGGATGGCCCCTGCACCTGGAGTTCTAGAGGCAGAGCCCACCTGCCCGCCTGTGCCACCATAACCCAGAGTTCTGGAGGGACAGCCCACCTGCCCGCCACCCCACACCTGCAGAGAGAGCCACCCTGCACTGGGGTTCCTTATTCACCAAAGCATGGCTCCACAGCCCAACATCAGGAAACACACAGGCTTGAGGCTGCCACCATCACGAAACTGGGATATCACCACTTCTATCAAGAGGCAACAATAAAGACCTAGTAAGATGTCATCAAGGTCCCTGTGGCCTGGCTGCATCAGAGGTTTCTCTACTAAGGGTGCTAACAGTTATCCTGGTACTAAGGTAACAGGGAGTCTTGCATGGCGTTGTCTATCTCTTGTTTCTCCTACTAACAGCCAAATTCTTACGATTATCCTCACTAATCATATAATCTAATACCTCCATATTCTCACATCCTACCTCATAAACATCTCAGCCAACCCCCCAGGACCCCCTTTCACTATTAGAAATTGTAAACCATTACGCAAACCTATTGACTATATGGTTGAAGATAACTGAACTCATCATTTCTGTTTATAGTGACAAAACTGTAAATGTAAAAAATAGAAGATAACTGATACATGGCTGCACGTTGGATACATTGAGTGCTATAATATTGATCTCTCTCTTAAAAGTGAGGTATTGGGAAACTGTAGGCACACTATAAGACAATAGGGAAGAAGCTGTAATACCTCAGATCTATACTGCATAAGAGGAAGACACATAGACATCATGAAAAAACAAGGGGGAAAGTGCCCCAAACAAATGAAGAAACTACAACAATAGAATCCATAGATAGTGCAGTAGGTGAAATGTCATGTAAGGAGTTCAGAACAGACATAACTAAAATGATTTGGGAATTAAAGAATGACCTAAGTGGGCAGATACAGGCAAAACCCCATCACTCCAACAAAGAGCTAAGAGGACAAATTCAGGCGACCATCGATCATACCAACAAAGAGAAAAGATAGCAAATACAATACAAGTTGCAAGAGATTACTTCAAGAAAGAGATAGAGACACTGGAAAAAAAACAATCAGAAATCCTCAAAATGAAAGAAACAATAAGCCAATTAAAAATTTCAATAGATAGCATTACCAACAGACTAGACCACTTGTAAGACAGAACCTCACACAATGAAGACAAAATTTATAATCTTGAACATAAAGTTGACCTCATAGTGAAGATAGTAAGAAACCATGAACAGAACATCCAAGAATTATGGGATACCATCAAAAGACCAAATGTAAGATTTATTGGGATAGAGGAAGCTTCACAGATTCAAACAAAAGGAATGCACAATCTCTTCAATGAAATAATATCAGAAAATCTCCAAAGCATAAAGAATGAATTCGAAAAATCAAATACAAGAGGCCTGTAGGACACCAAATGTACAATATTACAACAGATTTACACCAAGACACATTATAATGAAAATGCCTAGCATAACAGAATAAAGATAGAATTTTAAAGGCTGCAAGAGAGAAAAATCAGATTACCTATAAGGGAAGATCAATTTGGATCTCAGCATATATTTCAATCCAGACTGTTAAAGCTAGGAGATCCTGGAACAACATATAGCAAGCTCTAAAAGATAATGGTTGCAAACAAAGAATCTCATGTACAACAAAATTAAGCTTCAAATTTGACAATGAAATAAAAACCTTCCATGATAAACAAAAGCTAAAAGAATTTACAGCAAGAAAGCCTGCACTACAGAACATTCTTGGCAAAATATTCCACAAGGAAGAAATGAAAAACAACAATGGAAATCTGCAAGGGAAGAACTAGCATAAAAGAAAAGCCAACCAAAGGTGAATCCAAGTCAAGCAAAATACCAAAAATAAACTAATGACGAATAACAAGTCATATCTTAATAATAACCCTAAATGTTAATGGCTTAAACTCACCAATAAAAAGACATAGGCTGGTAAATTGGATTAAAATAAAGGACCCAGCAATATGCTGCCTTCAAGAGACTCACAGTAAAAGATGCCCACAAAGCGAAGGTGAAAGGTTGGGATAAAATATACTATTCACATGCCTACATAAGCAAGCAGGAATTTCCATCCTCATATCAAATAAAGTAGACTTCAAGCCAAAGTTAATCAAAAGGAATAAAGATGAACATGTCATACTGCTTAATGGAACCATACATCAACAAGACATAACAGTTATAAATATATATGCCCCAAACAATGGAGCATCTACATTCATCAATCAAACTCTTCTCAAGTTCAAGAGTCAAATAGATCACAACACAATAATTCTGAGTGACTTTAACACACCTCTTTCACCACTAGATAGATCTACCAAACAAAAGCTAAACAAAGAAACTATAGAACTCAATAACACAATCAATAACTTGGACTTAACTGATATATATAGAGTATGTTATCCATCAATGAATGAATACACTTTCTTCTCAGCAGCACATGGATCCTTCTCTAAAATAGACCATATGTTATGCCACAAAGAAAACTTAGTAAATACAAAAACGTAGAGGTACTACCCTGCATTCTATCAGACTACAATGGAATTAAATTAGAAATCAATGATAAAATAAAAAATAAAAGTTACTTCAACATCTGGAGACTAAATAATATGCTTTTGAATGAACAAGCGGTTGCAAAAGATATCAAGGAGGAGATTAAAAAATTCTCCAAAGTAAATGGAAACACCAATACTACATATCAAAATTACTGGGATACTACAAAGACAGTGCTAAGAGGAAAGTTCATTGCATGGAGTTCAACAAATAAATCACCTAACATTACATCTCAAAGTCCTAGAAAGAGAAGAACAAATCAACCCCAAAAGCAATAGGAGACAGGAAATAATTAAAATTAGAGCTGAAATAAATGAAATTGAAACAAAAGAGAAACAATTGAAAGGATTGACAAAACAGAAATTTGGTTCTTTGAAAAAATAAATAAAATTGATAAACCGTAGCCATGCTAATGAAGATAAGGAGAGAGAGAACTCAAATTACTAACATCCACGATGAAAAAGGAAATATTACAATGGATACTACAGAAATACAGAAGATAATTAGAAATTATTTTGAAAATCTGTAGTTCAATAAAATATAAAATATCAAAGACACCGACAAATTTCTAGAGGCATATGATATGCCTAAACTAAGTCAGGATAATACACACAATTTACACATATCAATTTCAAGCAAGGAAATAGAGGATGCTATCAAAAGCCTACCAACCAAGAAAAGCCCAGGACCAGATGGATAGACAACTGTGATCTACAAGACTTTTAAAGAAGAACTAACACAAATACTTCTCAAACTATTTCATGAAATAGAAAAAGAGGGAACACTTCAAACACATTCTATGAGGCCAATATCACCCTGATTCCAAAACCAGACAAAGACACATGAAAGAAAGAAAACTTCAGACCAATATCTCTAATGAATATAGATGCAAAAATTCTCAATAAAATTCTAGCAAATCAAATACAAAAACATATCAAAAAGATAGTGTATCATAATCAAGTAGGGGTCATCCCAGGAATGCAAGGTTGGTTCAACATACGGAAATCAATAAATGTAATTCATCACATCAATAGACTCAAAGATAAAAATCATATTATCATCTCAATAAATGCTGAGAAAGCATTTGATAAAATACAGCATTTCTTCATGTTCAAACACTAGAAAAACTAGGGATAACAGGAAAATACCTCAACATTGTAAAAGCTATCTATGCTAAGCCCCAGGCCAACATCATTCTAAATGGAGAAAAATTGAAAGCATTCCCTCTAAAAACTGGGACAAGATAGGGATGCCCTCTGTCGCCACTTCTATTTAACATAGTTCTTGAAACTCTAGCCAGAGTAAACAGACAGATGAAAGAAATTAAAGGGATATGGGTAGGAAAATAAGAACTCAAATGATCACTATTTGCAGACAATATGATTCTATACCTAGAAGACCCAAAACATTCCTCCAGAAATTTCCTAGAACTAATAAATGAATTCAGCAAAGTAGCTAGATATAAAATCAACACCCATACATCAAAGGCATTTCTGTATATCCATGACAAATCCACTGAAAGAGAAACTAGGAAAACCATCCCACTTACAATAGCCTCAAAAAATAAAATAAAATACTTGGGAATAAATTTAATAAAAGAGGTAAAAGACCTCCACAATGAAAACTACAACATGCTAAAGAAAGAAATTAAAGAAGACCTTAGAAGATGGAAAGATCTATCTTGTTCTTGGATAGGCAAAATTAATATTGTCAAAATGACCATACTACCAAAAGAACTATACAGATTCAATGCAATCCTAATCAAAATCCCAATGGCATTCCTTACAGAAATAGAAAAGGCAATCATGAAATTCATGTGGAAAAATAAGAGAACCAGAATAGCCAAATCAATCTTTAGCAAGAAGGGTGAAGCTGGAAGCAACACTATTCCAGACTTAAAACTATACTACAGAGCAATAGTAACTAAAACAGCATGGTATTGGCACCAAAATAGATCTGTAGACCAATGGTACAAAATAGTGGACACAGAAACTAATCCACATAACTTCAGTTATCTTATATTAGACAAAGGTGCCAAAAACACATATTGGAGAAAAGATAGCCTCTTCAACAAATGGTGCTGGGAAAACTGGAAATCCACGTATAACCAAATGAAATTAAATCTCTCTCACCATCAACAAAACTCAACTCAAAGTGGATCAAGAACCTAGGAAATAAACCAGAGACCTTTCACCTAGGTGTTACTTCTGGACTAACAGAACAACTAATGCGTCAGACTTTTTCACCATTTGGGCAAATAATGGAAATTCGAGTCTTTCCAGATAAAGGATATTCATTTGTGAGGTTTAATTCCCATGAAAGTGCCGCACATGCAATTGTTTCTGTTAATGGTACTACTATTGAAGGTCATGTTGTGAAATGCTATTGGGGCAAAGAAACTCTTGATATGATAAATCCTGTGCAGCAGCAGAATCAAATTGGATATCCACAAGCTTATGGCCAGTGGGGCCAGTGGTATGGAAACGCACAACAGATTGGCCAGTATATGCCTAATGGATGGCAAGTACCTGCGTATGGAATGTATGGCCAGGCATGGAACCAGCAGGGATTTAATCAGACACAGTCTTCTGCACCTTGGATGGGACCAAATTACGGAGTACAGCCACCTCAAGGACAGAATGGCAGCATGTTGCCTAATCAGCCAGCGGGGTATCGAGTGGCAGGGTATGAAACCCAGTGAAAAAGGACTCTAGAATATAAAGCCAGTGGCTTGAGGCTACAGGGAGTGTAGTAAAGCCGTTGTTTACTTAAAAGATTTATCAAATCAGTCAGTGCAAATATCAGATACAATGTATTTATTTAAAAGATTCATTTTTTAATCATGAAATTACTTATCATCCACATTGTTTTTAAAAAGAAACAAGACGCTGGATGTCTGCCAATTTTTGCCTTCATTACCTTTTTTGATAAAGTTTCTCAGATCCTTGTTTCAAATACAAATGCAGGGATTGCTGCCACTTTTTAAAAATTAAGAGGCAGAAAATTGCACAATGTTAAACATTTTTCCACTAAAGTAGTGTGCAGTTCTAGTTTGCATTCCTGATATGATTTAAAACATGTAATGTAAAGATGGTTTTAAAAAAAGAAAGAAAGAAAAACCAAAACTGTGCAAAGTCTAGAAGTTCTTTGTTATCTTCAGCTTGTGCACAATTCTGTTTTAGATTAAAAAAATAATAGGCATTTTTTGAGCTGTCCCATCTTCACTGTTACCCCTTGGGGTTTTTAAATATAAATTATTAGTTTACATCATTTTTGTATTTACATTTTTTCACAAATTTGTCTTGCCTTATTAAAGTTCTGTAAAATATAGTTAAATGGGAAAAAATGATGTTCAGTTAGATTGAAAACTTTTCTCAGATGGATTGATAATTGCATTCATCTTGTGTTTTATATGAGAAGGTGCCTCAAGAATTCCGTTGGATTTGTTTAAAAGGATTTTTATCTTCTGTGATAAACTTTGCTGTGTACCAGGAACTGTAAAAACAAAAACTTGTTACTCAAGAAAAATCTCTGAAATGTGATAAGTTCTTATGCCATGTAACTTTCATGTGTCAACTTATACATTTACATGTATTATTTCATTATGTAAAATGTTTTAGCAGTTTAATATTTTGCACAGTTACAAACTTTGTATGTCATTTCCTTTTTAAAGGCATCATGCAGAGTTGACATGAGATTTATAAGGTTTTAGGTTGTTTGCATGTGAATATCAAATACATACTTTGGTAGTCTTTGAATACAAAATCATCTCTTGTTTTTCAAGAACTTTGAGACACAAAGTTGTATGTAAAGGAATATAATTTGCCATTTTCTGGTTAGATTTACTTAAAAAGAGTAAATCAACTTAATATGTACAAATGATAGCTGTGAAAGTATAGAATATCCTTATGTCAGGCTTGGGGTTCATTATAAACTCCAAAAATAGCCTGAAGGACCAGCCGGGCAAAGCATTTTTTAAATGTTCAGAGGCCAAAAAGATAAATAAAAACAAACAAAAGGAAAAAAAAAAAAAGAAAAGAAAACCTTAAAATCCTACCTCCTTAAACAGCCTTCAAAGAAGAGAATCCTCAGTGCAATCACTATTTTGATTCTTTGGGTACCTGTTTTATTGGAGTTACCAATTTTATTATTTTGGTGTGGCTCCAAGCATTAAGAGGTTTAATCTTTGATGGCATTGTTCTAGTTTTGAAATTTCTAGTACATTTCAGAGTCTCTTAGAAGAGTTGTGGGAGATGTGATTTTTGTTTTGTTTTCAGTGAAGGTCAAAAATCCTCCTTGACTTACAGAGAGGAAGGGTCCCCAGTGTATGTGTTTAAATGGTTGGTGGTTTTTAAGATTCTCCGAGAGCTCCCAGTATTTTATTTAAGAACCGAAAAGGCCTGTGAAGTCAAATGAGTTTCCTGGCCTGTATCTTCCAGGTAGGACAAATGACTCTAAGCTGGTCTCTAAGCCAATAATACTTTGTAAACCAGAGCCCAGGAAAGACAGCTTGTAAGTGTTTAGTTTTCTGGAGCTCAATTCTATGCAGTTGTACTGATGTTTCATTAAGTCACTGTGTATTTTTAAGTGTTGATAATACATTAAAAGTTGCTTTATGGAAGATGAGTAAATTTTTTAAATACTTGGAAATGTTATTTCCTTGTTAACTTCTACAGATCAGGGCATGCAACCAAAAGCAGCTTAAATACTCAAAATAAAATATCAGGAAGCTAAAAAAAAAAAAAGAATACAAGCAACAATAAATGTTGGCAAGGATGTGGGGAAAAAGGCACACTCATACATTGCTGGTGGGACTGCAAATTGGTGCAGCCAATCTGGAAAGCACTATGGAGATTCCTTGGAAATCTGGGAATGGAACCACTATTTGACTCAGCTATCCCACTCCTCAGTTTATACCCAAAGGACTTAAAAACAGCATATGACAGGGACACAGCCATATCAATGTTTACAGCAGCACAATTCACAATAGCCAAATTATAGAACCAACCTAGATGAATGGATAGGGAAACTTTGGTATATATACACAATGGAACATTACTCAGCATTAAAAGAGAATAAAATCATGGCATTTGCAGGTAAATGGATGGAGTTGGAGAATATAATGCTAAGTGAAGCAAGTCAATCCCCAAAATAAAACAAATATCGAATGTTTTCTTTGATATGAGGATACTGACTCAAAATGGTGATTGGAGGGGAGCATGGGAGGAATGGAGGAAGTTTAGATAGGGCAAAGAGGAGGGAAGGGAAGGGAGGGGGGAAGGGGGTAAAAATGATGATGGAATGAGTTAGACATCATTACCCTAAGTACCTGTATGAAGACACGAATGGTGTGAAAATACTTTATGTACAATCAGTGACTTGAAAAAATTGTGCTCTATATGTATAATATGAAATGAATTGTATTCTGCCATCATGTATAACAAATCAGAATTAAAAAAAAAAAAAAAAGAAAAAGAAAACGGACTAGGGATGTAACTAGCTTAGTGGTGTAGTGCCCTGAGATTTGATTCTTAGTAGCAACAACAGGTCCTCAAAATCATGTGATCCTGCTTTTCCCCAAACTTTTGGGTCATTTTCCCTCCTTAGTTATCTTAAATTCCGTACACAATCATTATATACTATCTTTTGCATACACCTCCAATTCACTTTTCTCTCTTTTGCTTCCTCTTATTTATTTAGGGACTAGATATTGAACCCGGTGTGGCTTTACTGACAAGTGACTGCCTCAGTTCTTTTAATTTTCCTTATTTTGAGATAGAGTCTCCCAAATTGCTCAGGGTGTGGCTAAGTCGCTGAGAATGGATTGAATTTGCCAACCTCCTGCATCACTGGAATTACAGGCAATACCACAGTGCTTGCTCCCCAAAAAAATGCATGCTGTGTTGTCTTCTCCCCTGCTTGAAAAACCTTTAAAGCCAGGCCATGGTGCATACCTGCAACCCAACCACTTGGTAGGATGAAGCAGGAGGATCAGATATTCAAGGCTGGTCCGGGAAATTTAGCAAGACCCTCAAAATTTAAAAATAAAAATAAAAAGAAGCAGGGCACAGTGGTGCTGGCATGTAATCCCAGCAACTCAGAAGGTTGATGGCAAGTTCAAATCCAGCCTTAGCAATTCAGCGAGACTCTGCCAAAAAAGGGGGGAGATGCAGCTCTGTGGTATAGCGCTCCTTTAGCTCAGTAGTAAAGGGCCTGTGGATTCAATCTCCAGTACTGCCCTAAATAAATAAATAGATAGGTAGATATAGTGGCAGGAATGATACAGTAACATGTAAAACATACGAAATCATGCAGTGGGGAGGAGAAATGGTGAAATGTAGGTCAAAGGATACAAAGTAGGATGAACAAGTACACAACATGAGGAATGATAGATAGTAATGCTTTATTGTATTGGGGTTTTTGCTAAAAGAGTATCCTTGAGGTACTCTTGAACCTAAAGTGTGTTTGCTTGACAGACTTTGTTCTGTAGCACACCCTTGTGCAGAGGTAAAGTTTTCCTTGCCAAGCTACTTCTCAGCACCTGTTTGATTCCTTGTGGCACTCTGGTATTTCTAATACAAAGAGCATACAGATTATTTCCTGGTTGGAAAAGAAAACAATATGGCAGTACAAATGTTGGAGTCAGACTGTCTCCACTCTAATCCAGTTGTAAATCTTATCTTACTCAGTGGAATCTACCCACGTCATTACAGGAAACTCATGATACCAAAAGCTCAGTCCTTTTCCCCAATGCAGTCCAATAATGAGGACTGATTTTGAGGAAAAGGAAAAATAAGTTTGATTTTGTCAGCTAATGAGAAATACAAAGGAGTCCTGTCCCCAAGGCTGTGATTCTGCTCATTACGGGGAGCAGGGAACTATTTTTTAAAAAATATTTTTTAGATGTAGATGGACACAATACCTTTATTTATTTTTATATGGTGCTGAGGATCAAACGCAGTGCTCTGCCACTGAGCCACAACCTAGCCCAGCAGGGGACTTTTAAAGAGGTGATTCAAAGGCTACATTTTTCATGTGTAACAGGGGTTCACTTTATGCTTTGAAACCTACATGTTTTTTCCCCTGATCTTCACCCCCACCCACACCTCTCCTCCTGATCTTCTTTTCCCTGACCTTCTCCTCCCTGATCTCATTTCTCTGAATCACTTCTTTAATAAAAGAAAAAAAAAAAAAACCTGCTGAAGGCACTAAGCAACTCAGTGAGACCTTGTCTCTAAATAAAATACAAAATAGGACTGGGGATGTGGCTCAGTGGTTGAGTGACCCTGAGTTCAAACCGTGGTACCAAAAAAAAAAAAAAAAAAAAAAAAAAAAAGCCCTGCTCCCCTTGACAGGGAGAATCACAGGCTCTGGGACAGGGCCTGTGTTTCTCCTTTGCTAGCAAAGCAATAAAACTACTTTTTCCTTTTTCTCAAAACCTTGAGTTCATTATTAGATTGTCATCAAGAATGAGGACTAAACTTTCAGTTACAAATTTGGTGACCAAAAAGGGACCCAAGAGCAGCCCCCACTCCAGTTTTCTTGGGCAGGGTCTGGCACTCCAAGCGACCCCCACTTCCATGCTGAGGATACAAAGTGGCTGTTGAGATTGTTGAGAGCTGACTGCTGGAGAAATTGGGAGACAGCGCGAGTTTGCCTCAGACCTAACCAGAGATGCTGTTTCTGTGAGTAAAGGGAGGGACTGAAGGATGATCCCAGCAGCTGCCAAAGCTCTTTTTGCTTTGGGGAACTCCTGCCTTCTTTCCCTGAATGGCACAAGTTGTTCCATCAGTTGCTCTGCTTTGAGAAAAAGGAAACTGAACACCAGAAAGTGGTGACACCCTTGGCCATCTGGAAAGTCCCCAAGTGTGCACACTGAGACCCTTGATTCCACACATCTGTGGAATCCACACATCTTTTTGAGAATATCCAATCCCTCTTCATGGAGACATATGTGACACCATTGGTGTAGGATTTTGGGTTAAGCGGGACTCTGACACCCAGGGATTTTACTCCCTTCTGATCTGCTCTGGTTTTTCGTCTGTTTGTTGGCCTTGAGTTTGGCAATCCCTCTAATTGTCTGTGTTGATTATTTGTATCCATTACTGGCCCCTTTAAGACATGGGCAACACTGTCTCAATTTCAACAATGGTCCCTTGGAAAAGATCCTGGCTAACTGGGAGATGCATAGCTATGACTAAAGAAAAAGATGTTTTATTGTAACAAAGTCTGGTTGATGTATGTTCTGGATGGGGAAGAAAGGTGGCCATTGTCTGGTACTCTGAATTTTCATATGACCTTGCAGTTGGAGCTGTTCTGCCAGAGGTCAGGAAAATGAGAAGAAATCCCACATGTGCAAGCTTTTATATTGCTACATAGTAAGGATTCTGAATGTCCAGGGGCTAAGTTGATGGTGAAGAGAAAGGCACAGCTCCTAGTGTTTGAGGATAGCAGAAAGTCGGTAGAGAATGCTGAGGAGGATTTGATAAACTTAAATATAACAAACCCCTTCAATCCTAATTCTAACCTGGTGCCTAACGAGCAGGCTGGCCTAGAACCATCTATGGCTCCCACTAGCTCTCCTAGTTCCATAGGGAGCCTTTCACATGAAGGGAAAGTGGAGGAAAAGGGGAGGCCGCTTGGCATC